TTGAAAGAACCGACAGAAAGACTGACGCCTATCGTCAACATGGTTCGACTGCGCGACCCGACCCTGGTAGCCACTACTGTGCAGGTTGTCGTCAGGCTGCTCGTCAGACTGCGGGAGAACGACCACGAGATTCCGCAGAGCTCGAGGGATTTCATTCACAATGTTTGCACTAAAGGACCCGATGGCCGATACATTACCCCTTCGAACGCAACAAGCCAGCAACGGGCCGAGCTCCTCAAGGCTCTGGGGGAAGAAGAAGAAGAAGACGACGTCGAGGTCATTTCTATACAGCCAGCTTCTGCTGCCATCAAGAAGAAGCAGACGTCGCTGGATGCATGGTCAAAGTCTGGATCTTCTGGGTCAAGCTCTGCGGTTCCCAGGTCCAGGTCCAACAAGGATGACGTCCTCTCACTTAGCAGCTCTGTCGACAAGAACCGCTCCCTGCTAGACAAGATTTCTGCCCGACAATCGGCTATGGCCAAGCCCAAACCGCTGCCCCTCAAGGCCAAAATCGATCCCAGCTCAACCAAAGCCCTCATCGAATCCCGAAAAGCCGCCAAGGCCGACAAGGCAAAGAGAGATGCTGAAGCCATCGCCAAGGCCCAAGCTTTGCGAGGGCCTGAAATCAAGGGTCTGTCTGGTGTCATTGGCAAGGATCACGCTCCATCAAAGAACGAGATCATGGTGGACAGTGATGACGACGAGTCTTCCGATGACTCTGAGGACGAGGACGTCAAGGCTCTCATCAACAAGGGCCAGCTTGGCCAGAAAGCCAAAGACGAAGCGACACGGCGTCAAGAGCAGATCTTGCTGGAAAAGACCCGAGGGCCGGTCAAGAAGCAGCGCATTGTTCGCTCGGCCAAGGATATGCGTGCGCGTTTGATTCCTCCCATGGACCAGCTCCACCAGGCCATTCTCGAGTGGGATATCTTCTTCGAGGGTAACGACCCTCCGACGCTGGAGAAATGCGCTCGGGTTGCCGATACATACCCGCATCCTGAGGCTTACAAGCAGACGTTTTGGAAGTTGCTGGTCTCCGAGGCTTGGCGCTCTTTCGTTACGTCCAAGGATGAAGCAACATCAAAACCGTTTGGCATCAAGATTGCCTCGCGCATGAGCATCGACAGGTTTCTCGAAGTCACCGCAAGTATGCCAAAGCTTGAGAACAAGGAACGCGGCTTGTCCGAGGGCGACATTATCTTGCTCTCTCAATCATCCAACCCCCTCAGCGACCCCAACGAACCACATGCTCTAGCACGCATCTGGAAGACTGCCTACAAAAAAGATATGCTCGAGGTCACGTACCGTCTGAACATGCGGAACAACCCGCTGCAGGGCAACCTCCACATCAGCGCTGAGCTCTATGCTGCTAAGATCACGAACATGACCACGATCGAGCGCGAGTATGCTGCTCTAGAGAGTTTGAAGTACTATGACCTGATGGACGAGGTCCTCAAGGCCGAGCCATCGCCGGTCTTGAAGTACAGCGACGAGCTTGTCACCCAAGTCTTGACAAACTACACACTCAATCCTGGGCAGGCCAAGGCCATTCTCGGAGCTCGTGACAATGACGGCTTCACGCTTATCCAAGGCCCCCCTGGTACGGGCAAAACGAAAACCATCGTAGCCATGGTGGGTGCTCTCATGACTGGCAACATTCCGCAGTCTGGCGGCGTCCGACTCGCGACGGGCGGCGCCACTCAGGCAGCAGGCCAGAAGAAGAAGATTCTGGTGTGCGCGCCTAGTAACGCTGCTGTGGACGAACTGGTTCTGCGTCTCAAGCAGGGCATCCGGACCATGTCGGGCAACGATCACAAGATTAACGTCTTGCGTCTGGGCCGGAGTGACGCCATCAACGCAGCTGTCAGGGACGTGACCCTGGACGAACTGGTCAAGAAGCGGCTCGAGGGCGACAACACGGCAGAGAAGCTCAAGACTGCTCGCGACAAGTTGCATTCTGATGCCGCAGGAATCAGAGATAAGGTGAACGAGCTTCGACCCGCCCTCGAGGCAGCCCGAGGCACTGACCGTGAGCTCGAAATGACGCTTCAGCGACAATTCGATACCCTGAAGCGTGAACAGTTCCGCATCGGTACGCAAATCGATGCCGACAAAGAAAGCGGACAGACCATCTCTCGTGAGGTGGAGATCAAGAGGAAGCAGGTACAGCAGGAGATTCTCGACTCGGCCCAGGTGCTGTGCGCCACATTGAGTGGTTCCGGCCATGAAATGTTCAAGAACCTGAGTGTTGACTTTGAGACTGTCATCATCGATGAAGCTGCGCAGTGTGTTGAGCTCAGCGCCCTCATCCCTCTCAAGTACGGTTGCACCAAGTGCATCCTTGTCGGAGATCCCAAGCAGCTCCCGCCCACAGTATTGTCACAGTCGGCTGCCAGGTTTGGTTACGACCAGAGTCTCTTCGTTCGCATGCAGCGCAACCACCCCGAATACATCCACATGCTTGATACGCAGTACCGCATGCACCCGGAGATCAGCTACTTCCCCAGTCAAGAATTCTACGAAGCCAAGTTGGTGGACGGTCCGAACATGGCCGGTTTACGACGGCAGGCGTGGCATGCGAGCCCTCTTCTCGGCCCCTACCGCTTCTTTGATGTTCAGGGCACACAGGAGAGGGGCCACAAGGGCCAATCACTTGTGAACCTGGCTGAGCTGAAGGTGGCCATGCAAATTTACTCGCGGTTCCGCACCGACTTTGGTCGCGACGGCAACATCGCCGGCAAGATTGGCATCATCACACCTTACAAAGCCCAGCTTTTCGAGCTGCGCAACCGATTCGCCATGGAATACGGTGATCAGATCACCAACGATATCGAGTTCAACACGACGGACGCGTTCCAGGGCCGAGAGTGCGAGATCATCATCTTCTCCTGTGTGCGAGCCAGTCCAACAGGTGGTATCGGATTCATGAAGGACATTAGACGCATGAACGTTGGTCTGACGCGTGCCAAGTCCTCTCTATGGATTCTCGGAGACTCGCGCGCACTGATGCAGGGCGAGTTCTGGGCCAAGCTCATCGACAATGCAAAGCAACGCAACCTCTACACGCAGGGCGATGTCCTATCGATGCTCCAGAAGCCCAGCCACACGTTGCGGCCGGCGCTGCCGAACGCGGAGTATCGCGAAGTGCCTTCCAGAGATGGTCCGCCACCGACGGGCCCAAGAGCCCAGACAGATCACAGCCACGGGCGAGGCGACGCTCAGGCCAGGGCGGCGCGCCCTGATGCCCCTCCACAGATTCAGACATCGGCTCCTCCACGGCCGGGGGGCGCTCCACAGATTCAGACGTCGGCGCCCGACTCAAAGAAGCGGCCGAGAGATGGAGATGGGCTCGGCCATCCCAACGTCAAGAGGGTACGTTTACCAAAGAGACAAAGGAGACGCAGCACGAGAGGATCTAACGACAGCATGGCAGATGGCGAGCAGCAGCAACGATCGGGCGCACCACCGGCACGGGGACACGAGAGCGGCGCCGACGGGGCCCAAGGCGCACAGGAACCCGCGCGGGGAGCACTGGGAAGGTCGCGACACGAAGCCGAAGACGACGGTGGATCCATCAGCGATGGCAGCACTGGGTCTCGTGGCTCCCGAACGGCCTCCTGCTGTTCCGACGGCTTCGACTGGAGCGACATCTGGGCCGTCCGCGCCGACGACGGGTCTGAACCGAGTGAACCAGATCCAGCAGAGGGTGAGACTTGAGAAGGCGATTTGCACGTGGTTCTGTTTCATTGTTCTAACGTGTTGCGCAGAGTCAGGGACAGAACCCGGGACAGGGCCCGCCACGGAAAAAGAAGCCCAAGGGCAACGGCATGTTCATTGAGAGGAGACCGCCGAGACGAGAGTAGGGGCGCGTGTCGTTGGGTGGTTTGTTGACTGGTTTGCGAGTTGTTCAGTATCTGCATTTGCATAGGAAACGGCGTCACTTAGGGGCGGAGGGTAAGCAATTTTTCGGACCCAGACGGCGAAAAGCTCCAGTCTATGGAGAAACGCCGTGACTGCCCAAGGTTGGGGTCAAGGATGTACAAGTAGATGTGTGTGCTGTCTGAGGCAGAGTTGGGAAAGAGGCAAGGATGCGACGAGGAGGCCGCCAAAAGCCGGCACCGAAGCCGGAGAACTCAACATGCAAACATGGGCGTAGGGGGCCATGGGACGTCGTTACGACCAGGAATCGTGATGTGTGATGAACATGGTCCAATGTTGCCGACGATGTTGTTGGCTTTGAGAGAGTGAAGAGGGACCCCTCCGCTCCCCCTCCCTCTACCCTTACCCCTCGCGCCCTGACGTAACATGGCGTGGGAGGTTTGGCAGATCAGTGGATTCAGCGATGGCCAGCACGAGGTGTAACAAGATGGGCAAAAAAGATGGCGCGCTAGGGACCATGACATGGCGTGGCGTGGCCAAGGCGGGCGGGTGCGAGACGGGGGTATCCTATCGGACGCGAGAGAATCCCATCAGATGCGAGAGGAGATGGCCGGAGAGAAGGGAAGGGCTCATCCTTGGACACGGTGCCAACAGAGGGCATACAGAGCCATGTCATTGTGCTACGGGAGGAGGGGGGCGGGGTGGAAGAAGAAGAAGAAGAAGAAGAAGAAGAAGAAGAAGACGTAGACAGAAAGGAGGGGGGCCCCGCGTCTCACTCCCTCTGCACTCTCAGTGATTCCATGTAGGTCGTTACGCAGCCGCCGGTACAGCCTGACTTGTGGCCGAGCTAGTCGTGTCTGACCCTCTGACAAACGACGTCATCAGCGGCTTCAAGCCTCGAGGAGCCGCGACAAGCCACCTGCCTCGTGTTGTCACCTCGGGCTCTGGCCAGCGGCCTTGTGCCATGTGCCTTCTGAGCCGTAGGTACTTAAAACGCATCACTCTCCTGCCTTTTTGGACTTCCAACTCAGAAGAGCATCCAGTCCAACCTCACATCAAGTTACCATCCATCCACACACACACACACACATACACCCGTCAATACCGTCAATACCGACAAAATGGAGAAGATCAAGAACATCATCAACAACACGAGCAAGGACGTGCGTTGCCCTTCCCCCTCCACCCCGTTGCCTCTCTCTTCCTCTCTTCCTCTCTCCCTGAACCCCTTCCCCCTTCGCTTCCCATACAGCCCCGCCCACCCGCTGACCCGCACACATACACAGGAGCAGGAGAAGCAGTTCAGCACGCAGCCCATCGACGACAAGAAGGAGGGCGCCAGCAGCTTCGACCCCAAGACGGCCGCCCACCAGGCGGCGCCCGGCCCCGCAGTGCCCAAGGACTTTAGCGCCCAGGAGGAGGGCACCAAGGAGGAGCGCCGCGCCAAGGCCGCCGAGCTGAACAAGTAAATGCCGTCCCAGGATGCGAGTTTTGGGGCATGTCGCATGGAGGGGGGCGGCTTCTTTGTGTAATGACTGTATGATATGGGATTCGCGCGGCGGGCAGGATAGGATACAGGCGAATAATAATCACGTTTACGAGGATGGGGTGATGGATCCTTGCACTGGTCTGTGTTGCGTGCCATACCTAGGTAGGTAGGTACCGTTCCTACAGGTACCTACGCTGGTGGATGCGAAGACGAAGCCGAGCCCGGGCGACGCACGATGACGAATCCGAGTCTCGAGGGGCCTAAGGTACCTACGACACTGGCAACAGGCAGCAGCCAGCAGCCAGCAGCCAGCAGGGCAAGTAGCAGGCGGTGGACAGCGTACGTCGGACAGTGACAGGAGACAGACTAGACAGCGGCTCCGTTTTCTAGAAGGGTGGCTGACGGCCCATGTTCGCTGCGGAATGTGGCTAGAATGAACCCACCGACAGCTGCCTATCTGCGCCCTGCACTTGCGCTGTGCGCGCCCAAGATGCCGGGGGGCAGGGGGCCTGGCAGCGCGGTCTCAGTAGCAGACTGCCAGGGCACGCATTCCACAGGCTACCCAGGTAGGTAGGTAGGTAGGTAGGTAGGTAGGTAGGTAGGTAGGTAGGTAGGTAGGTAGGTAGGTAGCCACTGACAGAAAGAACCCTGTCCTTCCATCTCCTTCGCCATCATTCGGGGTTCCGGCCCAGCCGCGCGCGAGACATCGTTCTGATTCCCATTTGGTCAACCTCATCTCTCGTTGCCTTCGTTGGCCGTTCATTGTCTGCTCGCATCGAAAACGCACAAAAGAATATTCAGAGGCGAAAAGAGTCAACGAAACGAAACCCTCCGAGCGCTGCGACCTGAACGCTCGGCCTTACCCCCCCCTTTCTCCAACGGACAACGGCCGTCGCGGGAACCCGGCGGCGACAAAGGCCTGAGGTACCGCCAGGCGGCCTCTTCTTTGGCTCGTCCCTTGGCCAGCTGGTACCCGACAAGTAGACTATTGGCAGGGCTGGGCTCAACGAATCGGCTCCGTTCGAACACCACCACCTTCCGTTACCTTGGGTCTTGGTACCTCACCCTCACTCACCTCAACCTCGTTGCCTTGCCTTGCCTTACCTCATCCTCTCGCCCTCTCCTCCTTTGCCTTCCAATTTGCTACCTCTTCAGCACGCACCCAACCCCAGCGCCAGATCGTAGGCAGGGCACCTTGGACCAAGGAAACTCGAGGCACTGCACTGCAGCCGCGCGTGAGGAGAAGCAAAGCAGCCGCCACCCACCCACCGAAAATCACCACAAACGCAAGCGCCCTTCCACTGCGTCGTCGCTCCTCTCCTGCGTACGTACGACGCAAACCGCACACGACCACCACCCCTCGCCCACAAACCTCCCATGACGACAACGTTGGCCGTCCCACCCCCCCTCTGAGCGGTCCGCCATCACAAAGTCAACCCAATCTCGTCCATCTCCCCTCGAATCGCTGCGGTCCATCCCCCGAATCGCTGCGGTCCATCCCCCGAATCGCTGCGATCGAGTTCCGCCTTCTCGGGCCAACCCACCCAACATGCCGTCCATCCTCAACGACGACGACAAGGACACGGTCAAACGCCATGTCCCCAAGCAGACCAACAAGATCCAGGCCGTCGCCGTCGCCCGCCTCTACGTCGCCTACCCGGACAGGACGAGATGGAACAACACAGGCCTCCAGGGTGCCATTGTGCTGTCCAATGACCTCGTCGGCAACACGTACTGGCTGAAGCTGGTCGATGTTTCTGTGCGTGAAGCTCTTTCCCAATCTTGAGATGCGCCCGCTGACCACGTTCCTTCTTTTTCTCTTCCAGCCTGCCAGCCGAGGTGTCATTTGGGACCAGGAGATCTTCGACACGTGGATCTACAACCAGGACCGAACCTACTTTCACACCTTTGAAACCGAAGACTGTCTCGCCGGCCTCTCCTTCGTCGACGAGAAGGAGGCCAAGCAGTTCAAGAAGAAGATGGACGACAGGGAAAAGAATGCCAGCAGGGCCACCCGCTCAACCCCTTTCGGCGGTTCCGCTCAGCAGAGCTCCCATCGCCACGGCATCCTGGGCCTCTTCGGCAGCCACCGACACGCTGCCGCCCCAACACCGCCCGAGTCGCCTCGCAACCACCTGCCGCCGCCCGCGCCCCTCGCGCCTTCACATTCTAGCCTTCCCTCGCTCGGACATGCCAATGGCCAGCGGTCCTCCGAATTCGCCATTCTCGAGGCCTTTGATCCCCATTGGCGGGAGAACTACGGCCAGGAGCTGAGCAACAATGGGCTGGCGGACGACTTTATCAAGGAGAATCAGGAATTCATCGTCGACTTCCTCAAGGACGCGCAGCAGAAGAACGAGGACCCCCCGCAGCCAACACACCGCGCCGCACCGCCTGCTCCTCCCGCCGCGCCTACCTCTGCGCACGCGCCGCCGCCGCCGCCGCCTCCACCACCTGCCGTCAATGGCAATGACGCCCGCGGTAACAGGGTACCGCCTCCGCCTCCACCGCCGCCGCCTGGAGGCCACGGCGATACCTCCGACTCGCCTTCGAACTCGAGGCGAGGCGCGCCGCCTGCGCCGCCTCCCTCACGCCGCCCCGTCAGCCACGAGCCGGCCGTGCCTGAGAA